TGCAGCAGGTTAGCCCTGAACACGGTTCAAAAAAAAAAAAAGTGCAGTTCAATGGAAACGACATGCCTTTTTGTTAATAATTTTAAAAACAAAACGAGTTTATTATAGAATAACTTGAGAGAAGCCAACTAGTTTTTGACACTTAAATTGTGGCATTATGTGGAAGATTATATTTTTTTAAAAAAAGGTCAAAATCTGAGCACGAGCCTTTTTCTGAATATGTAGGAGGTTACAACAGAGAGGAGTGTCTAAGGACTGTGGAGTGTTACGATCCCCAAGAGGACTGCTGGACTTTCATCGCGCCCATGCGGACTCCAAGGGCTCGATTCCAGATGGCCGTGTTAATGGTACTGTTCATCCTTATCTCACATGCATCTGCTTTGTAATAAACTGTCGTATTGCATATTGGCTCTGAGTGCACTGGAACCTCACCTGTTCAGACATATTTTACTTGTGCAAGACTTTAAAATGATTTTAGTAATTGCTCATTCACCTCTCAGGGTCAGCTGTGCGTGATTGGAGGCTCCAACGGACATTCTGATGAGCTGAGCTGTGGGGAGATGTACGATCCACATGCTGATGAGTGGGTTCAGGTGTCAGAACTGAGGACAAACCGCTGCAATGCAGGTCAGTCTGCTGTGCATGGATTAAGTCTGAATTTAAAATGTAAATGACTGTTTTTATTTTATCCTTCTGGTTAAACTTATTGCTGCTCTGTTTTTTCCTCAAGGCGTCTGCGCCTTGAACAACAAACTTTATGTTGTGGGAGGGTCAGACCCCTGTGGGCAGAAGGGCCTGAAGAACTGTGACACTTTCGACCCTGTGGCTAAAACCTGGTCCAAGTGTGCCTCGCTCAACATCAGTATGTTTGCACTCAAACTTGAAAAAGTTCAGGATCATTTCTAAGGATGTGACGAGCAGTAGAAACCGCTCGGGGTCTGCAATCACAGCACTTGTTGTTTTCAGGGAGGCACCAGGCAGCAGTGTGCGAGTTGGACGGCTTCATGTATGTGATCGGGGGGGCAGAATCGTGGAACTGCCTGAACACTGTGGAGCGCTACAACCCTGAGAACAACACCTGGACTTTGGTAGCCCCCATGAACGTGGCTCGCAGGGGAGCTGCTGTTGCTGTCCATGCAGGTGACGACACCAAACTGTGGTTACGCCACCATTTTGTCATGCGTTCTTTTAATAAATATTGACTCAAAATGTACAATACAGTAGTCCCTTGTTTATTGCGGGGGATCTGTACCCTGAAGCCCTGCAGTAAGTGAAAAACTGCAAAGTAGGAATAGTAGTACAAGTAATAAGTAGTAGTTTATTTTAGTGTATATATATATATATATATAAATTAATATATATTAAGGCGTTTTAAACTCTTCCCACACTTGCAATATTCTAAACGTTTCTAAACTCTAAATGCTCTAAAAGAGCACAGAATGTCATGATTTCAGCTCCCTGCTTCCGCTGCTCTTAGCCTTCTGCAAGCGCTCTTGGCCACGCCCACTTCTCTGCACGGAGATCATCTGCAGGAGGAAGTTTATCCTGCAGTGTGGGCTGCACAACGGTGCTAAATAGTTAAAAATAATACATTTTATATAAAAATTTCATGCCGATCCTGCGGCTCATCCATCAATCAGCCAGTTGTGTCACGTCCAAGCGAGTCTGCGTTAAACGAACCGCAAAGTAGCGAGGGACTAATGTATATAGAATACAACGGAGAATTGATTTGTTGGCGTTTTCTCACTTTTTGTAGGCAAACTGTTGGTTGTTGGCGGGTTTGATGGCTCCCACGCTCTCCGCTGCGTGGAGGTCTACGATCCGGCCCGCAACGAGTGGAGGATGCTGGGTAGCATGATATCATCACGCAGCAACGCGGGCGTGGCCATGTTGGGTGAAACCATCTATGTAGTGGGCGGCTTCGATGGAAACGAGTTCCTGAACACAGTGGAGGTGTACAACCCCGAGACAGATGAGTGGAACGACTGCACCAAAGCCCCATCTCCCCTTTCTGACTGAAGAGTGGGGCGATGGGGGGGAAGAGGGGGAGAGATGGGGCTTTGGAGGCTCACAGTGCTTCATCCATTTCCAAACTAACAGGCTTAGTGACGTAATCGTGTTTCGTGATGATTTTATATGTATGAATGGGTATATGTGGGTGGGGATGTTAAGGTGAGGGGTCTTCAGTGAAGACTGGCTTAATCTTGGCAAATGGGGAGGTGGGTGGGATTGAGCCCAAAGCAACATGACGCCTTTGCATATTGCATAGTTTTGTCCTGTATTTAATTTGTTTCTTCCACACTTATTTTGGTCTTATGCCAACATGTACTACACGTTTAGTGCTTTTATTTTCTCTTGAAGTTTGTCTTTGAGGGTTTTCAGATGTGTTTTCTATTTTTGGTCACTTATAAGGTGGCAGTATGGAGTGGTAACGATTTGAGTTCAGAAAATAATTTTGAGAAAATCTGTTGTGGAAATGTAATTTTACTCACACGTTTAAAAGTCAACGCTTTCAAAGCCTTACTCCGTGTGAGTGGATAAACACCTGTCACAGCTTTTTGTCGTTTTAAACAAGCTGGATTGCTTTTTGACTTAAAATGATGGCCTTTTTGTATTTTTATACACTGATTTATCAGTAAAAGATAGAAGTAGAAGCAGACGGCTTAAGTGAGTAAATCTAATCAGTGCCAGATTTAGTTATTTTCTAGTGAACACACACCAAACACGCACAACCACGCTTTCTGCTAAACAATTTTTTTTGTTTAACTTGTAGAAGTACACAAGAAATTTTTTTTCTTTTGTGTTTTAAAGTGTCAGTGTCAGATTTCTCTGGAAGGAATTTTAGTGCAAGAAAAAAAAAACATCATTTGTAACATTTCTTAATTAATAAATCAATTAAATCTGAATTTTGTCTTCAGCCTTTTTTTATACGCGTCTAAGGCTGTTATTGTTGAATAACGTGTATAATTCAGTTTATTTATATAGTGCTAGATGACGAACTATGACAAATCTGGTTATTTCTTGTTCCAGCTGTGAAAAATAAAGTATGGCAGTCGGGTTAAATAAGTAAGGCTGTTTGCCATACCCCGTTAACCCACCCCCACCTCAGTGCTCCCAGTCTTGGATGATTCAGGTCGACACACCGTACAGAAAAAAAGTAGTTGAGTTAGTACTTGAGAAACCAAAACCTGGTAAGACTTTTGCCCACACCTTGTGCATGGATAGAAGCCGAAATCTCACTTAATGGGTATTCTAGCAGAAAGCTTTGTTTTATTCTAGTGAAGCCTAAACCCGAGATGAGTACAAATACAGCACGGACTGTTCTGCGTTCATATTCCGCATCATTCCAGTCTATATAAAACTAAATAAATGAGTTTAATCATCTGGAACATGTCTTAATGCCAAACGCTCATTAGGTAATGTTTAATCTGGAGTTTTGAGTGCAAAGTCAAATGCTGCAATAATTTATAGGACACAACGTTCTGGTCATTACTGGTTCTTACCTGCTTCCTGTCGCCTCTACCTGCAGGGTGAAGCTGTCTGACAGTAGCAGCCGGTGTAATCTCTGTCTGCCGCCTTCACCTGCATCTAATCTCACACACACTCATGCAGTCCTGCACAGGAAATCAGTCAGAGCGCATGTACCGGTACTCTAATGCACAGAAACGCTTCAGCTTAAAAGGTCGGCAAAGGTCAAAACCATTAACCACATCAATATTCACTCTGGACGTTGCTTTATTCTAATAAAAAGACGATGCAAAACCAGGATTTTCATGAAAATGTGTTTTTATATAAATGCTTCAGTTTTGTGTGCAAACAGCTTCTACACCAAAATATATTTTGTTACAAAATAAAAATGTAAAAAACAATAAATTCTTCAATGATTGTCAAAGTAAACTCTTTAAATGTTTTTTTGTTATTTCACTTCAGCTTCAGTTTTGAAGAACACATTAGGAAAAACATGAATACGTGACAATAATTTACAGTAAACTGTTTTAAAGCACCCATAAAATCAGGTTTAGTTTTATAATTTACCCCGTGCTTTACGTCATGTATTTGACCTCTTAATGGCAAATTTTGTTTTTTGCTTTTTTTTTTTAAATAAAGGCAAAAAAACCTTATTTCTTGCTTTTTAAAAATAGAATAACATCCCCCCCCACACAATAATTAGATCTACTGTAAATAACCTAAATTTCTGCAGTTTTTGCTACAGTTTTTACTGCCTAGAGCAGGCCAGAAAAAAGTTTCAAACATTTATAAATCAAATACTTTGTGAAACATCAAAAGTACCTGAGGGTCATACAATTTAGGAGTTTGATACTTTCATTTCGTCACAAAAACTAAGCGAGTATTAAAAAATGTCCTTCATGTTTGCATAAACAAAATAAGAGCAAGATGAGGTCACTAGTGACGCAAAGGTGAGGTGTCTCCATGGAGCTCATAAGTATGTTTGTACTTTTGTGTATTTGTTAACGATTCAAGTAAATACTAAATAAGAGTAATGAGTTAAAGATCTAGTGCAAGGTTTATCAAATGTACTGCTGTGATTTAAAGGAGGTTATGAGTGAATTAAACTTTTTGTTTCTGTTTTTCCCTCTTCACAACACTTGCATGACAAACATTTACTAAAGGTATCTTTTGAAATATTTATGAAATAAACATTTATGAAATATCATTTTGTTCCCTTAACCATAAAGAGCAAATTTAAAAGGAAGCTGTAAGTGAAGTTGAATAATTGGAAACTTAAATGAGATGCTACGTGAGATTTCTAACATTTTTGCAGCATTGCACATTCACATGGTCCTAAAAAAAAACCGAGTCTCTCCGTGCACTCTTTAAAGGACGAAAGTACAAAAATATCAGCTGAACTGCATCATCAGAAGCAGATGTGATAATTAAATGCAACGCGAATAAACAGTCATAACACATCAGGTAAGTCTGATGAAGGAAATGCAGTTTAACAAACCTTTATAAAGATTCATTTAAAACGGTTTTGTCTTCGTAAAAATGTGTTTATGGAACGTGATCCAGAACAGACTTGAGTTTCACTTCAAGCAAAAGACTTGGTTTATTTCAGGTGTCTGGTCGGTCGATGTGCGGTCAGTCTGAGCCGGGTTTGAACGGCACTACGTGGTGAAGCAGGTGTGTTGACCTGTGGCCTGAGCGCAACGATCCAAGGTCCCTTTGAACTCCAACAGCTGGTTCCCTCCAACTCGGAGCTTCTCCCTGAAAGCGCACGAGAAAAATGCTTAGACGTAGAGCGAGGGCTGCTTGACCAATGAAAACCACTTGAAATGCTCCTCTTCATTTTCAATTTGACAACTTGCTTTTAAAGAAATTTAAAAAAAAATCAACCAGTACCAATCAGAAACTTCACACTAAAATAAAACCAGAATCAGGGCAACTGTGAAATTAAACAGTAAAAACTTGTTAAATGTTCTTACTGTGCTGAAAGCTTTGAGTAAATATCAGTGTTTGATACTTAATGCATTATAACCAGACTAATTATCTTAAGGCCATGTCAACATGAAGCTTTTATTTAAGCTTTTCATATTATGCTGCAACAACACTCTAAAAACAACAAATTTATCCGTCTGACCTTTAGAAATGGGTCAGACTTTACAATTTGAGATACATATTAAAAAAAGTTCAGTGCATTAATGTGGATATAATGCTGAACTTTATTATTTGACATTTGCTTCAGGTATATTAAAACAAACGACAACAAAAAAAAAAACTAGGCTGTTAGTTACAATAAAAATAGTCGCATGGACATCGACATGTTCACACTGCAATGAATTCTGGGTAAATGTAGTAAACGAGCTGCTCCAGTGTGAGCTCCATAGATCTTGAACGTTCGTTTTGAACAACGTCAGACGTTCGGCTCTTTAATTTGAACCGGAGCGTGTTGACAGAGAGGAGGATGTAGAAATGATCCAGCCTGCAGCTGAAAATGATGAAGAGGAGCGAGTCGGACAGACATGCTGGTGAAAGGGAGGATGCTGCACAGAGCTCCGCTAATAGTGTTAGATCTAGAGCTAATAGTGTTAGATCTAGAGCTAACAGTGTTAGATCTAGAGCTAATAGTGTTAGATCTAGAGCTAACAGTGTTAGATCTAGAGCTAACAGTGTTAGATCTAGAGCTAATAGACAACACAATACCTTCAGATTGCAGAGAAAAATATTTTCATGTTAATTTGAACCCCATTTTTTTATCAACTCAGTTTATTTATATAGCGCCAAGTCACAACAGAAGTTATCTCAGGGCACTGCACAGAAACATTCACATACATTATAAAAGCCAATTAGTAAAGTTCTCTAAGGAAGGAAGGAAGGAAGGAAGCCAACAGACGAGTCTTCATTTTGTCGCTGTCTCCCATGGTGAGCTAGCACAAAGGCAACAGTGGAAAGTGGCAGGGTCCAATGCAGACATGTTCCTGTTTTTAGTTTTCTACATTTGTCTTGGAATCTAGCTGTTTTTTGTTTTGTTACCTTTTTCCTTTTAGCCATCCTATTTGTTAAAAAAAAACAAAAAACTGTAGTATGAGTTTTTATAACTGCTTATTGTTGTTGCTGTTGTCCATTGTTGTCATCTTTCTTTGTTGAAATCAGGTCTCTCTTGTAAATGAGTCCTCGAGGCTCAATGGGATTTACCTGTATAAATAAAGGTTGATTGATAACAGGAAGAAACCTCCAGTAGAACCAGGCTCAGGACAAGCGGCCATTGACTGGCTGGGTTTGACATCACGGCAGCAGGCTGGGAAATAAGCTGGTTTTGATGATATATTTCTTATTTATTTCTACTTATCAGGGATTCTAACAGCTCCAGAAACCAACAAATCATACCCAATGAATGGATTTTTTTTTTAATTTAATTTCAAACCTGGAAATATACAAGGTGATGCCATTTTGGTTATTTTATTCATTTCCCAAAACCTATTTGAGCGATACAGAATGGCTCTTGTCTTACAATTGAAAAATCTCAACTCTTAATTAGAGAATATTTTAATTTAAAACCAGTGTTTCTTGTTTTAAATGAAAAGAGACAGAAAAAGCACAATACATTACAACCACAGTGCAATAAAGCACACCACAAGATTGTAGCATTTAACTTTTCAGTTGAGATTAGAAGACTGATTCAGCAACGAAATACACCTTTATTTACAACATGTGCGTGGTCACCTGTATTATGAAGCACTGTTCAACAAACCATGTTTTATCTTGGCGGGACACATCCCAATAAAATTGACAGCTCATACGTCTAAAGTCTCCACCTGCAGTTTGTTTTTCAGTGGATCCCGTCATGCCCCACCACCTTTAAAAAAAAAAAACTTAATCATTTAAATGAGCTACGCAGTAAATTCTCAGGAAGAAAACACCACGTTCCAGCTATATTTGTATATCTGGATTCATTTTGTTTTTCCAAGCATCCAAGTCTGTTTCATCCACAATGAGTTCACTTAACCACATGTGGGTTTGTTAGCAACAGCTTCCAAATGTTCACGCCGTCCTCGGGTTTAACTGCAGACTTTTTACAGTCACCCACTAGAAATCAATGAGGGAGTAACCTGCACGTGTGTTCATGAAACTGCCGCTGAGACAGTTGATCTTTTTGATTCACTGAAAAATATACCATCCAAAACTTTTTGTTAAAAAGAAGAAATTTGTCAAATTGAAGTCAACAACTTTAAAACCATATTCAGCCATGATGGTTGTGTTTTGGTAAATAAACATTGAACTCAGTGTCTGAAGAGGACTTTGCCACGGAACAGATGTTTGAAAGAAATTCTTCAGAAACTGATCACATAGAAGAAAGAGGTTTTACCATGTGCACTCGTTTGTTGTCTGTTGAAGTCACTTATTACTTTAATTTGACTGGAGCCTGCTGGTTTGTCCGATGGAGTATTAGGGCCACGCTAAGGGAAAAAAAATTACATTACGAGAAAAAAGTCATAATATTATGAGAATAAAGTCGTAATATGACCAGAATAAAGTTGTAATATTATTAGAACTCCAACACAAAAAAGCAGGCTTACATCTGTGGTAAAATGAAGAATGTTGAGCATCTTGTTAAGTTATACTTTGGTATTGGTTTTACAAATAAGGAAATACTTAATCTGTTGGCACATCAGCGTTAGATTATTATCAATATCAGAAATTTGAAACGATTGGGCAAACGACTATGTCTGTTTCCAAGAAAGAACCACACGGATTTGGAAGATATTGCTTCTTTTGTGGAAGAGGAGCTTTCCGGCAGTGGTCGACTGTAGTGGTGGTTACATCTGCATGCCAATCGATCATTCGTCAATATTACGACTTTATTCTCATATTATTACGGTTTTATTCTCGTAATATTACAAATTTATTATCGACGACTTTATTCTCGTAATTTACAAATGTATTATCGTAATATTTCAACTTTATTCTCGTACGTCTTTATTCTTGTAACATTACAAATTTATTCTCATAATATTTCGACTTTTCGTTATTTTCATATGACTTTATTCTCATAATATTTTGACTTTTCATTAATTTCATATTACCTTATTCTCATAATATGTTGACTTTATTCTTGAAACATTACAAATTTATTATAATATTTCGACTTTCCATTATTCTCATACAACTTTATTCTCATAATATTTTGACTTTATTTTTGTATGACTATTCTTGTAAATTACAAATTTATTCTTGTACGACTTTATTCTCATAATATTACAAATTCAATCTCTAATATTTTGACTTTATTCTAATCTCATAATATTTTGACTTTTCATTATTCTCATATGACTTTATTCTCGTAATATTACGACTTTATTCTTGTACAACTTTTTTCTGGTAATGTTGTGACTTTTTTCTCTTAATGTAATTTTTATGTAAATTTGTTTTTTGCCTAGCGTGGCCCTAATACTCCATTGTAGGTTTGTTTTATTAAATGCTCTGATTTTTATTTGTAGCAACCTGGAGTGTATTTTTAAGTCAAGAAAAAAAAAAAACCCTGAAACATAAAAATGTAATACAATGTACAAGTGATCAGTGTACAGTACTATCATGTTTAACACAGAATGTCTGTAAAAGACAAAAGCACTTTGATACAAGTTGCAGTTTCCAGAAGCCAGAGTCTTCAATAACCATTTCTCCCAACCGAACTAGATGTTTCTGTGCACTCTGCCTCTCCTGACAGTTACAAATCCTCAAGAACCAAGCCACAGTCACGGTGCTGGTAACAGCTGCTTAGCAGCAGAATCACTGAGGGAGCTCGTAGCTTGTTTGTTTCCTCCTCTGCCTTGTTTCTATTGGAACATTGTGTAAGAACAGACATGAGAGGAGAAGAACTTTCTGACTTTTGACCCTCCCCATTTCCACCTCACATCCATCCAGCCTCACATTTCTTCCTCTTTAAGCAGGAATGCTGTGTGTTTGCTTAACCGCTGAAAATGCCAAACTGTGTTTGAATGCCTACTTCTGACAAGCTTGGGCAGCTCCCAGGATGTGCTGGTCTGAGCTGGATTTGTAAATCACTTTTAATGGACACACCGACTTCCTGTCAGAGCATTTACTGACAATTTCAGACTCGCCGTTGTAACTTGCTGGTCATCATCCTGCGACACGAAGCTCTAGTGTTGCACCTGAATTGTGCAGAGTTGCTGACCCAGAACAATGTCCACACAAAGGGTGTGCGCTGTGCTGCTTTTGTGTGTTACATAACTGCCTCCACGTGTTTGGCAGGTGATTTATAAATCAATTCAAGAGACTGTATGGATCTGCACTGAACGGAGTACTAGACAACGGATACAGTAATATTGAAGTTTTATATTTAGTCTCACGCCGTCAAACATGTCAATGTTGGAACAGAGTCTCCTACTTTACTTGCACGATGCTGCTATTAATCTACAAACTATTATTTAAAATCCAAGAAAAAAATCTTATTACAGAAGTACTATTTAGCAAAAAAATAGTAACTATTGGGCCGTCTCCAATAAGTGTTATTTTTGGTAGAAATTCTCTTGATGTGCCTCCATTCTGCCATTTTCCTCTTAAAACTTTAATTTAACTGTGATTACCAAATTTATATGCAGAACTGCTTGTTTAAAATGCAAACATTTCAACATTTAAAAACTACTTGAAAGAGAGAAAACATTGACCTTTAACAGCATGACTCAGCTGTGCAGACAGACGTCTGAAAGGTTTGCTTTGTAAAAGCCTGACATGTGCAAAGGCAGGCA